CCTTTTGGTTACGCCGTATTGAAAGAAGCAGAAAATATTCGTAAATAGATTCGTTCACCTGAATACGTCAACCACGGGTTTGGCTATTTCCATCACGTGCTTTAGCGGAGAGCTGCACTGTTTGCTGCTCATAGTCGCCCAGAGTAACCAAGTACGCATTCCACGACTAGTGCATTTCAATGCTGCAGTAATTTATACATTTCCGGCCGTTTTGTTTTAGAGGCAAATATCTTTCGTCTCAGCAGACAGGTGATGGAAGATATCGTACTTAAATAACATAAGGGTAAACATTACCGTAGGCCATGATTCCCCACCCGACTGCGACGCACATCGTGTCAGCGGGCACATCCGTAGTTGGGAGGCAGATCGGCATCGTGCATGCGTTAAACGTGACGTCCTTTGCCAGTTTGATGATCATGATGTCGAAGCCCTTTCCGGCCTTTACATAGTTCTCGTGAACTTCCAAGCTTCCTCCTAGAATCTTTTGTGCAGATTGATCTGATTTGTCAATCGTCCCAAACGTCATCTGGAAGTACGATGCCAAGTCCCTGAATTTGACATCGTCAATGAATTTGAAATTTTCCGAACGTTCATGCTGTCTAATTGTGACCTTTGCGCCTAGCTAATTTTTTTAGACAACGTTAGCGAAAATCATACTACTGTGTTATTTTCTGTTTAACATTACTGTGACTCATATGTTAGGAAAAAGTACGTCACGGCACAAAAGGTTCATTACACACTAATTCTACAGGGGAAGAAGATAATGGAAATTATTCTTTTGAAGGCAACAATCATGTTTCGTGGGCCTCTGAACATGCGAAATTTTTGTAAATCATCTGCAACCTACCCTGCAGTACATCGTGTTGTACGAACTGCGCTGCGAGTTGCACGCCGTCTGTATGGCTTGTTCCTTTAAAAAAGGGTACGTTTGATTTGCCAGCTATCATCGACATTATTGGGCTTTCTTCGAAGCTAGTACCGCTGGAAAGCTTAATCAGAAGAACTCAAAATTGAGAGACTTCTATCAAAAGCCTCGATACTGAAATAACGTGGTTATTAATCACAAGACTGTAGCTGATTTTCAGTCGCTGATCGAAAAAGTTAATGTTTACAGCAGTAGCTCTGGTTTCAAATTTAACCTGACGAAAATTAAGGTGAAGATATCGGTCAGAACTCATATCCGCACTCGAATCGTAGTGGATGACGTTGAATTGCCGCAAGTCACCTACTTCCAGCATTTGTTTCCATCTTGAACGAGGCCGGAACTTGCAAACCGATTGCCTGTTTAACAGCAGTAGGATGCAGGACAAAACTTTGCAAAATAAACTTGAGGTGCGAGTGAAGAGTGACTGTCATTTTGTTGCCGAGTAGTAGCCTGCTTGAATAACGTTACGTCTCGTCTTCTGTGATTCGTAGTTCAAAGCAGCTGGCTATAAGGACGAATTAGAATCATTTATTCACCAATACGTTGCGACGCGGCGTAGCAGCATCATCATCCGAGTAAAAATAAACAAGAAAGTGCTCTATATCTTTTCCTTGACGAGGACGACGATTTTCGGCGTCCAAACGGGAGGATAAATGAAGCGTTTTACCTCGTCCTTGTAACCTTTTGTCTTAAGACTTGAATAATAAACGAGAAGATTAAGTTACAACATTGCAAACGTCACGACATTACGGTTTAATGCATCTCTACTCTGATCATCCGTATGCCATGGATGCAAGAGTCGAACAATTGAAACGATAGAATAAGAGTAGAATAAGAATCCATCGAAGGGTCCGAAGTGAATTAAGACGACTGCTGTGAATTTCATGCAATTACCTCGAACCTAAAGTGGGTTTTGCGCAACTTGACTCTCAACGATCGCTTTTGAAAAATATACAAAACCGAAAAAAATTGTATATAAGTCACGTTATGGGAAAGAACGACGACCGCCTGGATAAAGTATTACTGCAAAGCTTGACCTCGTTGATCAAGACTAAATGGAATATTGAGATTCCACAGAGCGGAAAACGTAGCACTATGCGTCGAATAAGAATCATGCAGGACCACGTGATGATGATGAGGAGGAGGAGACGAAATAGGAAGAGGAGGACAAAGAAACGGAGGAAAATGAAAACGATAATGATTACGACAAGGAGAGTGATTGATGGCTGCTGGTTCTTGGTTTGAGTGAATTTGTTCGTGGCTAAAAATGATTAAGGCTGTTTTAAATTCTTAATCAGGCGAAAACAATGACAGTGACAAGAGCAGCATTATGCAGATAGTGCTCACATGTTTGCTAAGGAAAGCCTGGTTTCGGCGAATTGCTATCATGTTTAATCAACCTCATAACTCGGTAGAACTATAGCAAGGCAAAGCGAGCAGACTTAGGTATTGCGGTAATATTACCGTAAGCAATTTTAATTAGTCACTTTCAGATTCCTGCATGATATGAACTAAGCCGTCGCGTGCAAGTGACACATCGCGTACATCAAAGACATTTCTAGTGATGACATTGTTTTATTGAGAAAAAGTGCATTTATGGAGCCTGAAAGGAATGTCACATTATCACAGAAATATACTAATTACCGATATGGATGATACAGATTATGGAGGAAAAATATTAAATATAAAAAAATGAGGAAATGGAGGCAGTAGGAAATAAAAATAGGATCATTTCAGAAACTTAAACTATCTATTGCATTGTTTTATTCCGATAAAAGCTTTGCTACAATACAGCAATTGGCAGGCTAAAGAAAAATACCATGATCGAGAAGAGCGATTGTATACGTAATCCAAAACTTGAAAAACATCGATAAACAACCTTCTGAGCAAGAATAGCACGGGTGAGAAAAAATAATTTGTCTTTAAAAGGCAATGTTGAACAAAACGATTTAACGATAATGGCATATGATAGCAAATCACCTTTGGATACTCATTCTTATGCTCTGTTCAGGAACTGAAATTATAAAGGTGTAAAGAAACTTGCAAAGGACTATAGATGTCTTTACCTTGTTTTAATTCTAAAGCTGTGTTCGCCCTATGTCCAGGGGTTCATTTGAGAAAGGAAGTTTTCAAACAGTGAAATAGGGTGTAAATGATCTGTGTGGCAGAAACGACCATTTCCAGAATGCACCTTAAAATCCCTCAGCCCTCTCAAACCACTCTAAGGAAGACTTTCTGTTCTTTCTAACGCTGGGGACTTAAATCAGACATAAAATTACGCGACTAAAGATTGGTGGCTAAAAATGCTACTTTCAAGCCAACACATTTACTAGCCGAAGGACACGTCATGAAATGCGGGCCATTGAAGCGGACACTTATTTTAATGTATTATTTATGACCATGCAGCACATACAAGTACATGGACAAATTGCGAAGTAGCGGTCAAAGGTCACTTGAGCACCGGTCAAAGGTCACTTACCCTGGTTGCCAGCAGTGAGCAGCTGTGAGGACGTGACGACTGCTGATGAGCGATCCGCCGCATAGACCGACTGTGTTGCCTTGTTTGCGTTGAACTATCGTTGCGTACGGATAGCTGCAGTTCAAAGCATTTTTTCCGCCGACGATGCGAAACTTCGCTCCACTTGAAATCGTCCGCAGACTGACGGATGGGACCACCGCCGACGTACCGCAAGTTCCAGACCTAACAGCTAAAAAGGGTGTGCTTCAGAAAGGTTCAGAAAGCAACGTTCAGAGGAGGGATTTCGCTGAAAGGGGTGAACTGGTGTGATTCTTCTTTTCGTTTCGAAATGCTTCCATGCCTGTTGTCGCGACCATTGCTCGACTGACAGAAAGATGCATTGCACCTCAGAAATGTTCGTGAAATGAGCAAAACGTTGCGACGTGTTGCATCGACAGACAATCTCAGCAGGCCATTCAAATCCGGTCAACACTTCGCAGGCGTCTGAGCGATCCAACCGCATGAAAAGGGGCAAGGTTTGGTGTACAAGAGGAAATTAGCAGCGAACGCAGGAGAAGCCTCGTCAGGCGGAAGGAGGTTGATGCCCACGTAAAACGCTTTTGGCCAGTAGGCAGAGGACAGAGGCAAACAAAGCAGCTGAACCTTATCAAAGCGCAACGCGAATAAATGCCGTTATAGTACAACATACCGTGGTTCATCAGCACGTCATATCTTGGGAGAAAACGAAAGGGGTGGCGCGGAAAAACAATATCTGGTCCGTAACGTCAAGGGAGTGTTACTGATCAACGCGACCGGTTGGATCAATCGTGATAGGCATAAATCTCAGCGACGCTTGCACGGAGGAGGACATCAAAAAGTCCTTCGGGAACGACGCGAAATGATGAGTCAAATGCGTAGGTATATGTAAAACAAATGCTGCCAACGTGTTTGGAAAAGATATGTATCCTGAAAACTAGGTTATCGATTGAAGTTTCCTCGTCACTAAAATTTACATAGCGCAATGGTTAGTGCACGGCTTCACTCAGATACAACTTCTGAAACCGTGGCACCCTGCAGGGTGATGCAATATCATCGAAGTTATTGACAGCATAGCCCTAGAAGAACTTTTCAAGACTCTTCTGAAGTAAATCACAGGCTGAAAAAAATAGGCACTATTAAAACCACGTGCGATTTGCTGACAATATGCTGATCCTTTTCCGCCACTGGAAAAACTCTAAAATTTAATTCAGGGGCTGAACGACATCTGCATAAAGCAGCGTTGGAAATAAGCCTGAAAAAGATACGGATATGTTTAATAAATGCATGATTCCAAGACCTGTTAAAAATGTACTGAGGATTGAAGAGGTACGAAATTACGTCTGCCTGGGATGTAATCCGTACGAAAGATTCTCTGTGTGCTGAATAATAGAGTGATAACGGCATGACGAACTTTTGGAGGATTATACTTGTACCTGTCTTGGAAATCGCTTTCATGTATGACACGGAAAGTGCTAAATCAAAGTCTGCTGCCACTGCTAACGTATCGATGCAAGAGGTATGAAACCTGCGCCTTAAGCAATTAATAAACTAAAGACTGCACAACGTAGCGTGGAATAACAAAATGAAAGTGGAAGACGAACGAATGGTCAAGAGCATAGGCACGAGCTAAGAATATATCATTGCACGAGAAAAGAGCTTGAAATGGTTAAGGGCGGGACGCCGCAATAAGAACTGACAGTCGCTGAACCAGAGCAACGCTGGGTTCCAGGATACAGTAATCGACCCGTAGGAAAGCCTGCAGATCGATTTCAGGTTGAACTGAAAGCCTTCGTCAGATCAAAATGGAAAGGAGTTGCAGAAACGAAAAGTTTCGTCCAAAATCGAGGAGAGGCCACCAAACAGCAGCGGATCAAAATGAATTGTGTGGCTTATAGCCGTCTGTATTCTCTGCACCTACTAATTTAAAGAACAGGACAGCGGCAAGTTTCATAACTAGAAGCATGAATTTTGCAGTAATATGTACTTTACCTACGTAAATAATATATTAGTTAGGTGTATGCGCACGTGTATGTGCTGGCGTAAATTCAGCTCCACGGCATGGCCGAAATATTTAATCAAATGATGTTCGTAACAGATATTTTTTTAGCAATTTTACCTTATGACATCCGCAAATCTCCATCAAAGAATCTCGTAACTGTTTCATTCATGCACTTCATGGTGCTCATTTGAATTTACTTAAGAAAGATCGCAAATTTGTAGCCATTAATTAACTTCTAGGAGTCAGTGTATTTGGAGTTTGGATAAGCTCAGCATTTATTTTGGCTGTTGCATCAGTCAGCTGTACTCAAGGTATTTAAAATTCGAGCCTTTCATCTGAGATAAACCGCGTCTCAAAGTGTAAGGTACTCCAGACTGCAATCGCTGCAGTCGATTAGGAAAATTACGTATCATACGTATCATAGGAAAATTACGTATCATTAAATTCTACGGACATAAGGAGTTAAATGCGACAGCACTTAGCGAAATTATTCGACTCCTTACAAAGTACTGTTTAACAGAAGGACGTGATTGTCGGAAGAGAAAACTTTACCATATGTCCTTATTCAACTCTTGATGAAAGATTTTTATGCGACATGGTATTATTTTTAGAAACTGTGAGGAGTCTTTGGAGATATTAAGGACGACAGAAAAATGTCGATGATCAGACCCCCCATTACAGGGAACATGTTAGGAGAAAAAAGAATATTGTATTATTCTTACTGAGCTCAGGTTTACAAGCAAAGTTGGTAGCATGACTATGAATGGCATTGTTTCTAAGTTTGAGAAAGCGCTGCGATAGTTTCAAGTTTCCTCTAAACGATTTCTGGCCACAACCGCCATTTATATCGACTTACTTATGGGTTTTGCAGCGGCAACTGCTGCAGGTTTCTTCCGCCCCAAGCACGCGTCCATATCTGCACTTTTCATGCATAATTTATTGTTGTTTGATAGTGTGACAAGGTAGTACGCAGAACCGCAAGCGCAGTGCGATTTCACGCATTCGGCGCCGTCGGTTTGACAGTCGGACGACGACCGGCAAGGTTTAGAAAATCCAGCTGAAAATCAGATATATTAAAATAGAATAGTTTCATAACTGATGTCATGGTTCATTCCCGCGTCCCGACTTGGCGGTCAGTCAGAAATCATATTTCATTGCTAAACATACGCGGATCAAAGATGTATTTCTCCATTCTCTAACTCCATGACATTTCATAAGCGCAGCCACGGAATGGTAAAAACTATCAGAATGCGGGGTGGGGCTGCATACCATAATGATGTACTCTTCGATGCATTCCAGTTGCTCCTTCAGTGGAAATTGAGCCTCACCATAACCAATACACATTCGAATAGCGAGAGTTCGATGGCGACCGACTGAAAGGATAAGTCACATTAGGTCAAGCATATTCGTATTCGGAAGATCGTGCATGATCATCTGCACTTATCTAGCAAACAGCACACGGTGCACTAATTTGCCTGAAGCTTAATGTTCTACTTTCGGAAACGGATGCCTCTGGTCTCAAGCTCGTGCTCAATATGCTACCTCGATGACTTATGGTTCTCTACTTGTGAAGTTAGTCTTGCAGTAGTCATGAAATTTCAGGTAACGATGTTTCAAAGTAGCGTTATATGAATCAACTTACGCGTAGGCTTTGATGGCCGAGTTCCAGCGTCCATTTCTTTGAATATGACATCCGTCAATGTTTTGAAGCACTTATTCTTTGCTGCAGGCAAAGCGCAATACTGTTCACCATACTGATCCTTCGAAAGTTCATAACCTGGTGCGCAGTGGCACGCGGAGTTTTCACATCGTGCCCCTTCGCTTTGACAATCTGCCGCCACTCGGCAATATGTGTCAAATCCATCTTTAAAGCAAAGAAATGCAAAAATAAAAAAATAAAATGTATATAGGTTTAATGCACCTTATTTTTAGATTTGAATGCCGCCCGGAACGAAAGCGCAACTAATGGAAGTTAACAGATCCCACCATCATATGCCGTATAGACCAGTTCTTTAACTTCAGACTCGGGTGGTGTTTTCGGACTGCTGACTGTGTTAATTGCCCAGTGCGAAATTCCCAAGTACGTGTATATTATGCCTTCCAAGCAGATGAAGATTTCTGATGTCATTTTTATTGCCGTCCGACCTAATTAACGCGATTCTTATGAACTTGTGTTGGGTTTAAATGTTTTGCGACTGTTATGACTTTCAGAATAAGTCTCTACAATGCACAACTTGTCGCAGGCTATAACATAAGACAAAAAATACGACGTCGGACAGCGTTGTAACAGAGGATTGCCCAGATTTTCACCATCCCTGATGCGCATGCGCAACGAATACTCCTGTCTCGTTGCAATAGGCTAAAGCTGACACTTTCATAGAATTGGTGCGAACATGCGGAGTGACGCTGTGCGTAACCTAAAATTTTTTTTCACGTTTTTTTAGCGCTAGCAACTGTCTGCAGTTTGACTCTATTTTTTGTATTTATAAGGCGACTTGTTGTTTGCTTTATCAAATGTGCCATGATGGTGTAGCAGGACGGATAGGCCATAAGAAATTCCACGAAATGCTTGGTTTTGTACCCTGAACCATGCATTGTCAAATCCGTTACACTTTTTATGATGAATCCATGACTGATGGGAAGAGACAACCAAAGTACGGCAAGACAACGTACTGCACAGGACGTAGCCCAGAGTCGCAACGATAGTACTCAAAGTCTGTTGTGAACCCCACCTAAGAGGGCTCTAATAAGCACAGGTGGCAGAGCTTCTTATGAATATTTTCATCTTCCATAACAGCTTCCCCTTTCGGGTCGCGGAGGCATACGCGTCAGACAGTGCTTCCAACGTTACCGATCCTGTGCCCGAGTCTGAGCTTCGGCAAAAGACAAATACAGTCTGGAACAGACTCCTTCCATATATTTGCATCAGGTTAATCTTGGCCGTCCCCTGGGCCTTTTGTCGGTCGGATTTGCAAGGAACAGTTGCTTAGCCTTCC